TATATAGGCCTATATGCACATACATATATATATTTATACATTTATATAATTATAAATAATTTATACATATTTATTTACATTACACATGAAATCATATAACATATATATATATATATTACTATCCGTTTATTTTTGTGTTTTATAAACATGACCAGCAGCCAGCGCAGACGATTTGAAGTTACTGGTTTCATGAAGTAGGTGAAACACACGTGAAGTGTGGTGAACTGCGCTCATCCAGCACACGTGTTTGTACCTAGAAATAGCTAGTCGTCTATTTTAGCATCTGACCTACTTCTGTCTTTGCAGTAATGTATCAAAAATGGAAATAAAACAAATAAGAAATCACAAACCTTGTGTCAGGTTCGCCTTAAGAGTACCACGAGAATCAATTTGTGGAAACAAATCTAAACTAATCTATTGACTATACTTATGCTATAAATCTTTATTTAATTCAAGCATAATAATAAAAACTATATCAATATATATATATATATCGCAACAAACAACAAAAAAAGAACATATCTCAAACTCGGTCAACTTCTTAACATCTGCGTTGCTCCTGTAAAAAAAGAAAAATAGCACCAAGTGATACAGTAATATAGTAACAATAAACTTTAATACTAATAAAAATAAGTGTTAATAAACTAATGTTGCAGTAATTTAAATAACGAGTTGGCTGGTTTTTCCTGATAAAAAGTTTGATTTTTATAAGTAATATCATATCAAATCGTTTTAAAGAGAAATACCAAATTTTAGTATTTATTTTATTTGCTGTAGGCTTACTTGTTACGTATTAGGAAGCGTACGGATCGATATTAAATAAAACGAAAATAAAAACGTCCGCGATAAAAGAGTAAAATGGTACTAGGAATGCAACAAACTAGAAAATAACCTATAAATACCATAATATTAATTAAAGCTTAGTTCAGTAATTATAGTATTCATTTTGTTTGCTTTTAAGTAACCTATGACTGTTGTTACTTAGTAGAAAGACAACAAAACATAAATAAAAAAAGTATGATAAACCAATTGACGAACTTACAATTATAATTAGGCCTAGTTATATTAAATTTGGCATTTTCGTAACTCCATTGGCGCTCCATATATTTGTTGAAAACAAACCGCGACCGAAACGAAGCGCGACCAAAGTGAGGCGCGACCGAAACGAAGCGCGACCGAAATGATCTGTATTCAACTACTTGACCCATTTCAATCAAGGCGATCAGAGTAGCTTACTAGGCCTACCTAGGTCTAGGCCTTTATAATTACCAAATGTGAAAAAATGAAGAAAATGAAGCGATTAAACTTCAAATAATAATAATAATGATGATAATAAACAGACAAAATTAGGCTAAAACAATTTATGTTATAGAATTAAAAAATGCCCCTGATAATAATAATAGTAATAATAATATAACAACAATATAACAACATAAAATTCAGTAATAAAAAGATTGTGGAAACACAATATAAAAGCAGTAAACATTCAAATAAATAAAACTTTAAAATACAGACAGAATGAGACATCTAAACAATTTGTCATGGATGTGTAAAAGAAAAAAACATGAATAAACATTAAAATTGGGGAAAAAAGCCCATGGCAATTATTCGATTTGCCTACAGACGATCGGGCAAATTTCAAGACAATTAGAAAAATTATAAACTGCGACCCGCGCCGGCCATGCTTGCTCTTGGCATTTTGCTCCTTTGCCAATTTGTGTCTATTGGTACTTGTCACTGCCGTTTTGGTGCATTGCCGTTTTGGTACTTATCATTGATGTTTTGTTTTATTGCTGTTTTGGTCATTGCTGTTTTGGTTTATTGAAGTTTTGGTTTATTGCCGCTTAGGCCTGCTACCCTCTTAGCTAGCCTACTAGGCCTGGCTACCCACTTGACTTGATCGCTAGGCCTACTGTAGCCAGCAGTAATGTACTGACAGTAGGCCTATATAGATAGACCTGTTGGGCTATCTCTAGACCTAGCCTAAAATTTGCGGGCTTGACGTTTAGACACAACCTTTTTTGGCAATGATGGGATTGGGGTGACAGACGATCGGGCCCACGCCAAGACGATTGGGTCAAGTGCCAGTCCATACAAGCAGATGCTACTTCAAGCAGATGACAGGCCAGTTTAAGCAGATGCTTGATGATTTTGAAAGGTTTTTGGTACTTTTAATATTATTCCATGTTTGAATTACAGTCTTGGCAAATCTGACTGCCACATGGCTGCTAATAAGCACTTGTATCAATTGAATTGTGCACATTTCATTCTGAATTCACACTTTTTAGTGTATTCAATCGGGGGTCTGGTACAAAAAGCGAATTATAATTACGATTGTATGTTCTGAGATTGAATTTCAGCTAAATAAGCTACTGAATCCCACTATATAAATTAATTCATTTAAAAAAAGAATTGTGCCGAGACTAACATAATCATTCTCAATTTTTTTAATTATACATACAAAGGAAAAAAATTAAAATAAGAATATTAATGCATTACCATAATTATTTTGAAATTAGTTGGCTCATATCTGAACATGTAACTATGGCATAAATTTAAATACATTTTGGCCATATTGGCAACCACTCAGATTGATACGCTACTACAATAACTCCTCCCTAACAGTTTGCTGGCGGTTAAGTTTTTAATTCATTATTTTTTCACCATTGAGAAAAATATATGTAAAACTCTCTATGTAATTTATTTAAAACAAGAATATTTATTATTTTTAATTGCAGGGTAAATATCACCTACTTAAACCGAGATGGTGAAAAGGTGACAGTTAAGGCAGCCATTGGTGAAAACCTGTTGGACATAGCACTTGATAATGATTTGGACATTGATGGATTTGGTAAGACTGTCCAGGGGTGGTGGTTTTAGGGTTTAAAAAAATATGGGAGAACTTGGACGTGTCTTCCTACCTACAATAGGTGAGGGAACGCCACAAAATCTTATCTGTCAGTTATAAGTTCCGCTTCTTTTGAACATCAGGCCTTCAATTGCCACTCATGCCATTCCGGCAAAACAATGCTGGATTCGCCACTGGCAAGGCAATAATACTTTGTTTTGCACATTTATTTTTCTTTTTATCAGACCAACAGTGAATCATCGCCACTAACAGGCTGTTTTTCAGTAGTCTTTCGCCACTAACAGGCTATTTTTCAGTGGTCTTTCTTCAAAGGACAGAAAGAAAATTAAACTAAAATTGTATATTTTCATTTTAGCAAAACAGGCATCAAGGTTTGGGAGAACATATAAGTAAAATTTTATTGATGAATAAAAAAAATAATGTGAGTGTATGACATAAAAAAATTCAATTTTATTGTCTTTTAAACAATAAATAAATGCTTTTTTTCTTACTTAGTTTTAAGAGAAAAAGAGGCTTTATAATGGCGGTGGGTGAAATAACTGTATTTCAATTTAATTTTTATTAATTATCATTATCGGAAGGTGACGTCCTTCAATAACCAAAGTATGAAAAAGTCTTGCCTAAGTATCATACAATCGAGGTACACCTCAATGTCTCTACATGCACATCTACCTTCATTTTTGAAGGCTTCACGTTTTTGTAATTAGCCCACCCTTATGAAAATATCATATTGAAATTCTTATTAGAACAAATTACATGATACATATTGTAATTATTATTTTATAGTAATTGCTATAGAGAATTCTATGAGACTCGGAAATTGGCTTAATATCCCATAAGATCTTATAAAATTCTTTATAGGAATTCTTATAACAATATTTATGAGATCATATAGGAATTTTAATTATTTCTATTAGGAATTGCAATCAGATCATATAAGTAGTTCTAATGTAATTCTTATTTGATTTGCAATTGCATAGGAATTGCTATCAGGCTATATAGATACCGGTAGTTCTAATTTAATTCATATTTGATTTGCTGTATTAGAAATTATATATTAAAGATTATGTCAGAAATTTGCCCCTGTATGTATCAGACAGGGCTGGAAAAGATGTGTGACTGCACAACCAGCGGTCGGGGGAAACGTCTGCTGGGAAATGTCCCGGAGGCATTTTTGGGAGAAAATTTTTAAAAATAAACTTTCTAAGCCCCTGCAACTCGACCTCCAGGCTTCACCCCTAGACCTCATTAAAAATTGTTTAAGACCCCTCTGTTGGACAGCTTAGCCCCATGGACAAATCATGGTATCACCACTGACCAGAAATGACTAGACTACATCTTTCCGTAAAAAGTTTAAATTAAATAATGAAATCTTTGACCTATGAAATAGTTTATTCAGTAATAGGTAATGCTGTGTAATACTAATGTGTGTTTATCATTGTAGCCTAATTGCCTATATGCTGAATCATTTGTTTTTTTCATAGGTGCATGTGAAGGTACACTAGCATGTTCTACTTGTCATTTAATCTTTGATCAAAAGGTTTTTGATCAGCTACCATCAGCATCTGATGAGGAAATGGATATGTTAGATCTCGCTTATGGACTACAAGAAACGTAAATATACACACTTTGTTTATATTTGGGGCATAGACCTACAGCAATTTAATTACAGTAAATTACTAAAGACCTTTAAAATTGCCACACAATAACAGCATCCTCTTACTGTATTTAAGTTAATATGTCAGTCTATACTGAACCAAATTTCTTTTTATATAATTTGATTTTTTTTTTTCTTATTTTTGTAAATTTTTTACAATAATATAAGTGTTTTTATGCATAGTTTATGTTTTCAACAATTTATAAGGTGATATTTGGTGCCCAGTTTTGCTCTTAAATTGTGTGTAAACGGCACACTGGGTTTGGTCTTGGTATTTCATTTGTTATTTCACGGTGTTGTTTTTTTTTTTTCTTTAGTGTCACTGCTGCATTTGTGAAGAGTAAGAGAGCTTCTTGCATCTTCCATTATGCCCTGTTCAGACCATAACATTTTATTTGACAAAAACATGTGATATGCATAAATATACTACCAGGGGTCCCAAGTCTCTCTGAAATCTCGGGAATTTCCCGGAAATTGGGACGCCTTTCCGCACTTTCGCAGGCAAGCAAGAATCGCTCGAAAGGAACCCACCTCCCGCAAATCCATAATATTTTCAGTATTTTATTATCAATTGTCTCATGGACGTCAGTGCAGATGGATATCACTAAGTTCAGTAATAAGATTATATGTGTTAAGTCATTAACCACTGCAGGTCAGTGGAGGATTCAAGTGGAGGGGGGGGGGTGGAGGGGTATGACTGCCCGCCTTGGCCCCTAATTATTTCTAAATTATAAAAAAAAGAATTATATTCATCTAGAGGTGCCATAATTTAATTTTCATACCTCAGCGCCAACCATGTTGGGGCTGAAGTGGTAAGGACTACCTATCAGTCCCTCCGCACACCCCCCCTCCTTCCCCATTTCAGATTCCTGGATTAGCCACTATAGATCTTGCTCCCGGAAATTACTTCTCCCCACTTGGGACCCCTGCTATACTATATATATTTAGGCACATCATAGTTAAATATGAGCATACAATGTTTTTTTTGGTTAAACAAAATTTGATAATCTGGGCAGAGCTTTATATATGAGGCTTGCCATCCCAAAAATTAACTTTTTAATATATTCTTCTTCTCCACATCATAAGCTTTAAAACGATGGGTTATTTACTGTATTCACTTACTATTGGCAAAGTAATATGAGTATACAAGTTTTACAGCGTCTATGTATTAAAGCATGGAGGTATTATTGTATAGTTTACTAAATACCGCCATGATTAAAGTATACAATACTGCCACAAAATACTAATTACTCGGTTAAACAATTAGCGACAGTACACTAGTTTTTGGATGGCAAGCCTCATATGCTGAAATAATAAAATATGTGGCAAAGACAAGCCAAACCAGTCACTCGTCGCAAAATTCGATTTTGAGTTATTAATACAGTGTTAGAGAGTAAAATAATAGCTATAAAATGGGGAAAAAATCATTCAAATTGGACATTTCCTTATGAAGTTACAAGCTTTAAAACACACAGCTGTTTAAAGAACTATATGAGAAATCAGCCTTCAAAGTTTATGATATCAGGCATTTCTCATGCAGAAACTATCATCAAAGCCTTAAAAATGTTGTTTTAACATTGCACATTGGGAAAATAACAGCATAGAATGATGTGTAGGTATATAAAGGTTAGTTTAGTGCAATAAAATAGATTTTCAAAAATTAGACATTCCAGCATGATTTGGCTATTTTCTCTGAAACACGATTTGCGACGAGTGACTGGTTTGGCTTGTCTTTGCCACATATGTGGCAAAGATAAGCCAAACCAGTCACTCGTCGCAAAAATCGATTTTGAGTTATTAATACAGTGTCATTCAATCATTCAAATTGGACATTTCCTTATGAAGTTACAAGCTTTAAAACACACAGCTGTTTAAAGAACTATATGAGAAATCAGCCTTCAAAGTTTATGATTTCAGGCATTTCACATGCAGAAACTATCATCAAATCCTTAAAAAGTGTTGTTTTAACATTGAAAATGGGGAAAATAACAGCATAGAATGATGTATAGATATGTAAAGATTAGTTTAGTGCAATAATATAGATTTAAAAAAATTTGACATTCCAGCATGTTTTGGCCATTTTCTCTGAAACACGATTTGCAACGAGTGACTGGTTTGGCTTGTCTTTGCCACATATAAGTTTGATCATAGTTATGTATTAATTCATTTGACAAATTTTGTCATATCTTTATTTAGATCTCGTCTCGGTTGTCAAGTATGTGTGACCAAAGATATGAATGGTATGGAAGTATGTGTACCTAAAGGAGTCAGCGATGCCAGGGATGTGTGAGATATGCCGGCATCAACGTTTCTTCTAAATTCATTAATATTCATTATCATTATCATCATCACCACCATATTCATTATCATTATCATCATCACCACCATCATTTTATTACTACTATCTGCCCACTACAGGGCAAATAAAGGCCTACTACCTAAGCTGGAACCTCCTGACCTATGAAGCTCTCATGCAAGTCATGTTAGCAAATTTTACAAAACAAACTTTTCATCTGGTTTCCTATCTACTTCTACGCTATAACCTATTCTTGGTGTATATCTTTCAAATAATACTGTATCCTATAATAGTAATATATATTGTACAGCAAAAAAGAGGGATATGGTAGAGAAAAAAGATAAGTACTGTACACTGGGTTTTTTTGCATTGCATTCAGACTAGACAAAATATGTATTGTAGTTAGTAGTAATTTTCTTTTAATTCTTGGATTTTATCTGGAAGTGATACTTTTGCAAGTGTGGCTAGACAACCAAAGCATTCCACTATATTTGTCTGACAATGTTTCGTTGGGAGTAGACTGACTCTCAGCATGAATACAATATCAATTTGTGTGATCAGATATGTCTAAAACAAGCATACTCTTTCAGACAAAATCTGTTGTTTAGTCTTGCATGCAGAAATATGAAACCCAGCAACATTGATGTTAGTACAACTCCACTTTCTGTGAGTGATTGACAATGTGACGAGGTTTGCTGATGTTGGGGGTAGCTTGTTGTCCACACTACAAAATTTTCTTTGACAAAAAAACTGTTGTACGCCCATATAAAGTCATGATGTGCCTATATATGGTCACGATGTGATGTCTTCATGACCATATATAGGCATGTCACCTGTTTTTGTCGAAATAAAATTTGTTAGTCTGGAGAGGGCTAGGCCTAAATTCTATCCTTTGTGCATGCCTCATCATGTGATCTCCATCGAATATTACTTTACTGCTTTGGAATTTTGTGTTCTTGTCCATTTAATTGTTCAAAAGTATGTTGTGTGGATAGAAATTGATGACCCATGTGACAATAAGTTAATAAATTTGGGAATTTCTAAATTGAATCGTGGAGCTTATAGCTGGAAGTATTTTCTATGCATTTATTAAGTCATAATAACTATTGATGTTTTAATCATTAGTGATAAACTGCCACTGAACCTTAATAAACTTTTAATCTATAATTTTTGTTTGTACTGTACTAACTAAATTGCCTAATTTGTATATCAACTGAAAATTAAAATGAGAAATATTGTTTTTCAATTAAACAGATGTTTAAATAATACCTTGCATAGAAACTTTGCACCTTTAATTACAAGCACCACATAATTTTTATAGTAAAGTGTCTTTACATTAAAAAAATGATTTGTGAGTTATGTTGGTTTTTTTCAATGATTAATTAAAATTTTATATATATATATATATATATATATATATATATACTGTCTCTTATAC